TCCGGATATTTCCCCTTAAAACATCACCCCCACCAAGGGCTACTCACCTTTCATGGACCAAAAAGGTGATGTTTTTCACCACCAAAAAGGGAAACATAGGGACCCCTGACTAAACTGGTCCCAAAAAAACGCCCAACAAGTGGCGCAGGTCCCGGTTCTTGAGCTCAGGAATTGATCCCTCGGAGCTCAAAGATGGGCTTAACAAGATCCCAAAAGTTTTTTTAAATTCCAGGAACTCGGGCAGTGAGCTTGAAACGTCGAGATGTCCCCCACACTGGCATTCCCTTGTTTTGCTTTTGATCCCGAAAGTTTAAAATCCAACTCGGGAAGTGAGTTAAAGGCTGCCCTACGCAGCACCAGCGGCGCGCGCGGTGTGGCGAGCGTCGCCTTCCTGGACGAGTCCTCCAGCTCCACCAGGAAGTCCGTCATCACGACCTGCGAAGGTCCCCAAAATGGAACCCTGGTACCTGGAAACATGGACTAAAACCGGTCTGCCACATGTTTTGTTTGACCCAAGTGGCCGCAATCCGTTTGAACGGAATCTCTTAGGTCCCCCTAGAAAAGCAAAATATGTCCAGTAGTGATATGTAAGTCTATATATGTATATACATGTATAGAGACTCCTTTTTCATCAAATGGAAGGGAAGGAGAGGAAGGAGAGGAAGGAGAGGAGCGGAAGGTACCCTCCCAATGGAATCTGGGTTCTCAACTACCTGGCTGTGATTGTCAACAGGGTAACCCCTTTTGATGGCTTACTGTGGGAAATGGAAAGGATTCAAACCTGCGGTTCAATGTCCTTTGTTGAACTTTGACCCATTGCAATCCAACAAGCATGGAAACGCCATCAGTGGATTGCGATCCCTGGGATTCGCTGCACACGGCTGAAAGCTGAGAGGTCCTTTAGTAGAGAGGTTAGAATAAGGGTACCCTTTTTTAAGTCTATTTTAGTAGGGGAACCCCCCCAGAAAGTGGTAAGAGGGCACTACTGGGGCACCTAGAAGTGTATCCGCTGACCAGAAAACTCGTCATACAACATGTGGGTTGAAAAAACAACCCCGTGGACAACCCTTGTATCCTTATGCCCTAGTATCGGTCAGTATCGGGTTTTTTTCTCTGCATCGGTTTGCAGTGCTTTGGCAGCTCTATCTCGAAAGTCGTGACTTTTCCGTACAAGTGTGGTATGCGAAGTACACTCTGCCGGCTCCCAGCTCCAGCTGGACAGTCGCAACTTTTCAGTACAAGTGTAGTACGCAAAGTACATTTTGGCAGCTCCAGCTGGAAAGTCGCAACTTTTCAGTAGTATGCGCAGTAGATTCGGCGTGGCGGCCACTGAGTTGGGTATCGGTTGGGTATCGGTTTGGGTATCGGTTTGGGCCCTGCAAATTTATGATATCTTTCTTGGCTTGCGACAACAACTTGGACCTGGTTTCCTGGTATGGCTTCAACAAGCTTTGCCAGAGCTCAAAAACACTGAAGTTTCCTTTTTATGGCACCCCCTTCCGGTTCATTCCCAACACCTGGACTCGGTGTTTTTTTTGCATTCCCTACCGATCGCGCAGCAGCACGTCGCCTGGGGAAAGAACCGCTGTCCACCGAAAACACCGGCAGCGGGGGCCAGGGGAGTCTTTTTACCACCTTTGATGGGAAAATGACGGACCCGCTTGCAGTGAAGCATTCCTTGAGGGGGCAAAAGCCAAATTGTTGGCACAAAAGGTACGGCAAAAAGTGAGGGGGTCGCCCAATTGTTCGCACAAAAGGTACGGCAAAAAGTGAGGGGGTCGCCCCATTTTTCTCACAAAAGGTGGCAAAAAGATGGCCAAAAGCGACCCGCCAGCAATGGGGGCAGGCCAGGCCTCGGCCCTGAGGAGAAACTTGCTCTCCGGCTCCGCCTGTCGAGAGATGCCGAACCGGAAATTGGGTCTCAGGGGGTAGGATGCAGCTGAGATGTTCTGCTTGGCGTTTGGCAGGGATGCACAAACTGAGGTTCAGTTGTTCAGTGACCCTGGAGAAAAAAAGGGAACCCTTTTTGGCGAAGACCATTTTTAGTGGGGCAGCCGCCAAAAAAAAAGGGGAAAAAAGGTGCCACTGAACAACTGAGGAGGTCCTTGTTATGATTTTCGGTTTCTGGGGAAGTTTGCAAAGTCAGAAACTGGAATTTGTGGTTTCCCAGAAGCCCAGCACCGGGGTGACTTGGATGGTAGAACACTGGGGCCAAACAAGTGAAGGGAATTGATGGAATTGAATTGGATGGTAGAATTGAATGGAAATTGATGGTAGAACACTTGCTTGGATGGTAGAATGCATTCTGACGCTTTTGAATTTCTCGTCGCTCTGCTGTATCACGCCTTCACTTTGGCTTCGGCAAAGGGTGGCAAGATTCAGCTGCCCTCCAACTGACTAGCCAGTTGGCGTGGCGTGGCGCTTGAGTACTCAGATGCCCAGTGGCCAGGGAAGACAAGGGTATCCTTTTTTGGTTGGTTGACTTTAAAGGGGAACCCTTCCCGAAAAAAAAGAAAAGAAGAAAGAACCCTTCCCGAAAAAAAAAAAAAAAGAAAGAAAGGAAAAAGCAACAACCACTGGGCGACTAAAAGTACTTCGGTCACCATACGATCAAAGCTCCAGCGAAATGTCACTAGCAAGTCCTCGGAGGACTCCCGGTAGCTCCGACAGTCTCCCCTCTAACCAGCGAAATCTTATTAACTTCCAATGGCTGCCGGGTGTGGCTCAAGATTAAACAGGAGGGGCAAACCGCAGGTTTTGGTCCATGTTTCCACTTACCAGGGTTCCGGTTTGGTACTGGTTTTTTGAGCCACAGCCATATGATACTTGGGCTCAGCATGGGCAACTACCCTATTGCACAAACATACACAAACCCAGGTCACTGCTTCACTATATGAATGGCGCCTCTCCGTGTTGGTGTGGTGATAGCGTGGGGCATTCATGAGGACATGGGACAAGTAGCTTGTCCCCCAAATGTTGCTGGAAACAACTAGACAGGGTTACACGGGCTTATTTTCCAGGCCTGATCGTAAGCCCCCTGAAGAGCTGCCCCAGGAAATCCATCCAACTCGTGCAAAAAAGACACGAGATTTCAGAAAACCCGACCTCCCATGGCGTACCTTTTTCTGTTACTCTGACCGCCCACGAAGCCAGGCTCCTACTCAAACGCCACACGGCCTTCACCACCACTCGCCCGCTGAAGGCCACCTCCTCGCGTGAGAAAGACATCCACATGAGTCATAAACCCCACACAGAACCGGGGTTGACCAAAAAACGGCTGTGGTGGTCAAGAATAGGTATCCAAAATGGACACCTTGGTAGATGGAACCATGGACTAAAACCTGGAGATTCATCAAAACCCGGGTGATTAAGATGATCGTAATCCCAGAACCATGCTTCAAGAATTAAGAAGGCGGATTTCCGCAGCTATTTCTGGCAAGGATATTGTCCCTTACTAACCTTCATTTACCTGGGTTTTGATTGTGGCTCACATGACCAAAGCTCCCCGAAGGTCGGAGTCCATGTTAGTTGATGGGAGGCTACTTTCTTGGAAAAGTTGATGACCCCATATAGCCCAGGTCCTCCAGTAGAGAGGTTAGAATAAGGGTACCAACTTTCTTCTGTAGTCTATTTTCGTACGGGAGCCCTCCCAAAAAAGAGAGTAAAAGGGCACTACTGGGGGACCTAGTAGCTCAGATCCGTGGTTCAAAGTGCTGGCTAAAGAAATCTCTTTTGTTTCTCAGCCCTGTATCTGCACAAAGACGCGTACCCCAAACAAACGCCAAGGACGAATCTTTGTGTCCTTACATGAGTGCAGCACACACAGCACGAGGCCTTGACTCCTCCGCGTCCAGTCGAAACATGTCGCATATCAGGCACCCCAAGTTGGCATGGTTTGGTTTTGGATTTGAACGGGTCCCTGGTTCCGGGAAAAGGGTCAAAAGGGGAAACCACCCCGGAACACCGCCCAAACCTCCAAACCACCCATTTCTGGCAAGCCGAGCATATGGCGAGTCAGATTTCAGGTCCGGCTGACGTTCGCTGGCGAATTGAAGGTTTGGGCCTGGAGAAGCTCTGCTCCCCTGCTACAAGGGAATAACTTTTAGCGGTTTAATACGGAAAACCCATTTGTTGGCAAAAAGTTAAAGTCCTAACATCCAGGCAAAATGCACCTCTGTACAATTGAACCATGTCAGGGTTACTAATTCAGAAGAAAGGCGTCTGGGAAACAAGCGGCTAAAAAAGGCGGCTAAGTTTAACGCACACAGAATGTTCCGTCTAGAAATTTGGCGGCCATTCAAGTATGGGTGCTCCAACATTTCGGACATCAACAGTATCAATCAGTGTTGTGGACTCACAGTGGCTGCTTTGGTTTCTGATAATTGGCATCCGCATGCCCACTGTCCCCAATGCGTCTAACACAGCATACGAAGGCTAATCGATGCTTTCTCGTGGAATCAAATGCAAGCTCAATGTACCTGGGCTGTCTCTAAACGTCTAAATTTCAGTGGGTTAAATGGAAGCTACCAGTAAACCCAAAGGTAAACATCTCTGGGAACCACCTTGGCCCAAGTGCCAATCAAGTGCTAGCCACAGCAAGTCGCCTGGCTGCGTCAATTCGCAGAGCTGAAAAACCAAGCTCACCTCGGAGTAGTTCTTTTCTGGGGGCTCATGTCAATGTGCAAATATTGAACTACAGAGACTCTCACCATACCCTGATTGCCTTCAACGGCTAAAAGCCATGTGTGTTCCCCGCGCTGGATCAAACCAGTCTCTTCAGAAAGACCACTAACTAGCAGTACCCTCTGACCAACAAGCATGAACATTCTCTGGCAAATTTTGCAACATGGTCTTCCCAATGAACAAAAGCATCAGGGCCGTGGCTGGGAGGATTTCAACAAAGGCCAACAAAAAAGACCGAATTGGCACCTGCTCTCCCTGCTCTCCTCCAGTGGCAGGCAGCCAAAACAGCACTCCGCCCAAAAATGCGACGCATCTTTTCCATGGTAAACGCTTAGCCGGCGATGGAAATTGTTGAAACTCGGGGGCCACGTTGAGCGATGCGCTGGCAACGCGGCTCTACAGACAACGCGGCTCTACAAACCAGTTTGAAACGTGCAGGTGTGCACAAAGGTCAAATGCTGGCGATCTCATAGTGCTCAGTACTCGCTCTTTGCAATTCATGTCAAGAGAAATATCTGTGCACGCTGCCCCGCTTGCTGCCATGTCAACTAGAAAGATTCCCTATAGATGACATGACACGTTTGGCAAGTTGAGCATTTCTCACTGGACGATCTCAGCTGAATCGGATCCCGTCATGGTGACGAGCATCCCCTCCACCATCGCGGCGAGACCCATGAAGGTCAATAGCAGCCACAGCGGCAGCGCCTCACATGTTGGTGGACGTTGGAAGGGGAGCACAAACTGAAAAAATCTGCAGTTAAGTGGTTGGATTTCAGCCACTAAACCACAAGAAACAAAAATGGGAAAAATGTTTGCAACAACATGACGTGGTACAACTTCATCTAGGTCCTCCGGATTTGAGAGGTTGGAAAAGGGTACCAACTTTTTTCTGTAGTCTATTTTAGTAGACTAAACCCTCCCAACAAAAGTTGGTAAAAGGGCACTGCTGGGGGACCTAGTCATTAAAAGCGCACAAAGTGCCCCCGCCGGTTCAAGAATCCGGGGGCTCATGGGCATCTTGGACAAATCCCAGTGAGGGAACCGGTCACTCAGATTTTTCACATGGCGGTGAGGCTAGTGAGAGGAAGCTGGCGCAACCGGGTGTACACGAACATCTTAAACAACAGCAACACATGCACGGGATGTTGGGGTTGATCAATATTCCTTGCCCCAAAATGACCCTGGGTAACTTCTCCTACTTAGTGGTGAAACTCATCTTTTCGGCGTGTTTCGCTAATGACCACCCCATGTTAAAGGACCTTATTCTCATGAACCCCCCATGCGTGTTCTGCATGGGTCGAATAAAAATCTTGCATGTCGGATCTTTTATCCAGGATCTGAAGGGGAATAGAAATCCGAACACCTATGCCGAATTCCCCCCCGTGGGTATTGTTCAAAGCGGGGCCGCAACGGGCAGCGTACAGGGCCGTCAGAAAGGGAACCCACGAATCTGTGATACAACAAAATGGGTCTCCAACAGGCGACCCACCCCCCTTTAAAGAGTGGATTCCCAAAAGTAACACAGCCGTGGTTGGATAAACCCCTGCAAATATATATATATATATAAGTATATATATACATACATATATATATATGGTACCCCCCCCCAAAGATCGACCATTTTCTGTGTTTTATCTCTGGTGAGACATCCCAGAATCTGCAAGGTCTCGGGCTTCTGGCTTCCCAACTTCATCTTGCATCTGCCTTTTGGCTGCACAGGATGAACATGTTGAAATAACCCGAAGAAATCAAAAAAAAACAAAAAATCAAAAAAAATCAGGGTCCTGGAGCAGAATGCCCAGGTCAGAATCTCGGAAAGTGAATAAACCTCGAAGAAATAAAAAAAAAATCGAAAAATCAAAAAAACAAATCAAGGTCCTGGAGCAGAATGCCCAGACTCAGTGACTATCTCTCTCAAGGCCTTGATTTTTTTGATTTTCTCGAGGTTTTTCATTTTTCCAGGTCAGAATCTCGGAAAGTGAATAAACCTCGAAGAAATAAAAAAAAATATATAAAAAAAAGAAAAAAACAAGGTCCTGGAACAGAATGCCCAGACCCAGTGACTATCTCTCTCAAGGCCTTGATATGCCTTGATTTCTTGATTTTTTTGATTTTATTGATTTTCTCGAGGTTTTTCACTTTTCCTGACTCTGACCTGGGCAATCTCTCCCAGGACCCTGATTTTTTGAGTTTTTTTGTTTTTTTTTGATTTCTTCGAGGTTGTTGCAGCTTCATGGGTATCTTGCCCTTCGCCCCTGAGCATCTTCCTTGCAGTGTTGGAGCTTTGGCGTACAGAGCTGCAGTTTTGCAGCCCTGCCAAGTCTGTATTGCAACCAAGGCCTGCAGTGTTGGAACTCTTGTTGGAAATGCCTTGCTTGCCTGTAGTTTGGCAGCCTTGCCAGGGCAGCAGGGAAGCCTGCAGTGTTGAAACTTTGGCAGGTGAGGCGCTCAAGTCTTGCAGTGGCCTTAGTGTTCAACTCTTGCCAAGTGGGTTGCAGTTTTGAGCTGGAACCCAGTTTGGCAGCTTGCTTGGGCAGTGTGCTGGAAGTGCCAGTTTGGTGGTGGAAGTCTTGTAGCAGGTGGCAAGAACCCTTGCCAGGGTATTGAAACTTGGCAGGTTGGCAGGTTGCAGTTTTTTGCAGCCTTGCCCTGCAGATTGGCAGCCTTGCTGGAAATTGTGGAATGTTGCGCTGGGCCAGCAACCAAGTTTCAAGCCTTCCTTGCAGTGTGGGAGCTTTGGCAGACAGAGCTATCAAAAGTTTGTTTTGCAAACAGGCCTGTGTTGGAACTTCTGTTTGAACTCGCTTGTCTGTAGTTCAGTGTTGGTGCAGCTGGTTGCAGATTGGATTGGCAATTTTGCAGCCTCCAGGTCTGTAGTTTGGCAGCCTTGCTTGGGAAGTCTTGCAGTGTTGAGTTAGCAAGAGGTTGTAGTTTGCAACCTTGCTCTGCAGTTTAGCAGACTGCTTGGCAGGCTTGAAAAGCCTTGCAGTTGGGTGTGCCTGCAGTGTTGGAGCCTTGCAGTTTGGATTTTGCAGCCTTATTTGTAGCTTGGCAGACCTTGCAGCAAGTGGGAAGCCTGCAGTGTTGAAACTTTGGCAGGTTGGCAAGGTTGGCAAGGGCTGTAGTTTTGCAACCCTGCAGTGTTGGAGCCCTGGCAGGTTGGCAATTTTGCAACCTTGCCAGGGCTCTGCAGTTTAGCAGACTTGCTTGGAAAGTCTTGCAGTGTTGGAGCTGGCCCTGCAGTGTTGGAACCTTGCAGGTTAGCAATTTTGCAACCTTGCCAGGTCTGTAGTTTGGCACCTTTGCTTGGCAGTGCTTTGGCTGGTTGGTAGGGGTTGCAGTTTTGCAAAGCCTTGCAGTGTTGGAGCTGAAGCCCTGCCAAGTCTGTTTTGCAACCAAGGCCTGCAGTGCCTGCAGTTTAGCAGACTTGCTTTGCCAGGTCTGTAGTTTGGCAGCTTTGCTTGGGCAGTGTCTTGGAAACTCTTGAAGTTTTAAAACTTCAGGTTGCCAGGGGCTGCAGTTTTGCAAAGCCTTGCAGTGTTGCAGCCCTGGCAGGTGCGCAATTTTGCAACCGTCCTCAACAACACTGCACTTGAATGTCGACCCCAGCATATGCACATCTGTTTCTTGCAGTAATGCACCGCATCTTTCTCAAAACACAGAAAATGGTCGATCTTTGGGGGGGGATAGCATATATATATATATATATATGTACAAATATCTTGGCTGGAATTAGGACCCCAGCAAAAAATATCTTTTTTACCTGGTTAGTGGAAAACAAAGGGAACCCCAAAAAAGCAAGGGAAGATATGTACACAAGTCAACCCAGGTGCCTCGGCAGATGGTGAATCGCCATGCTTGCCATGGAGAAAAAAACACAGACACAACCCCGGGGTTCAGTTGACACCATGAGAAAGCGGGACATCAGATTTCACCACCATTGTTTAAGGATTGCCATCATCCAAATTGGCTCTTTGCCATTCTTATGGGGGTCGAACCCTAGGGACAACATGTGTTCTGAAGCCTAGCTGGTTTCCTGTCCATATGGCTGTGGGTCAAAACCAATGGTATCATTTTGGGGCCGGTGCACCACCCATTTTGGTCTATTTTAGTGGGGATTGGGATGTTCACTGGGGGTACGGGATTTTGACCCACGGCCATATTTAGAAAACCTTCTGTAACAGCTTCCAAGAATTTGAGCTGGGCCTCTGACCCCGTTTTGCCCGTTGGTCGGCTCAGGCCTTGACGGCAGATTGGATGCAGGAGCTTTTCCCCGTCAAGAGGGCGAGGCCCAGGGTGATCAAGGAGGCCATCAAGATGCCCAACTGGCGGCCGGGGAGTAAACCGAAACAACCTGAGGTCTGAAATGCTGTGGATGGTTGAAATCGACATCCGAGACCGCACCACATGGTTGAAACCATAACGCTTGTTGGTACTTACAGGGGAATCCTGCTGTTTTTCTCTCCTGAAGGGCGTAGGATTTCGCAACCATCCACAGCAGGCCGTTTTTTTAATGCAGGGAATCCCCTGTACAAGGCGGCAACAACAGCAGAAACGTGCCGTCCACCAAGAACCGGCCGAAAGAAATCTGACCCCACCCGGGTTTTGGAAGGCCAGGGCACGCGTTGCGACACTCATGGAACCATGTGGGAGAATTTGCTTAAGCCCTCTGGGAAAAAAACAACAACGTCCAGTAGTCACAGATTCCCTCTAAAAACCAAAAGGGAAAAAACAACTATTCTTAAGCGAATGGATGAACACCTTGAGAGATGGGGAAGAAGTGGAACCTACACCTCTTTGAAGCCTTTGATAGAAAGGATGCCCCGCCCTCTGGGAACCCCTTGACAAATTGATCGACTCATGGTCATCCCAGCGTGATGTTTCATTTTTGATCACAGCATCCCTTTAATCACTCAGGTTAACTCATGGGTTTGCACAAGGGGTTCCAATTATTCACAAGTCTGATCCGACCCCAGAAAAAGGTGGTTCTTCTTTCAGTGTCCCTTTTAAAGCAAGGCTTAGAAGGGTACCCTCAAAAACACAACACCCAACTTTGCCGTGGCTCAGCTCCAAATTCTCTAAAGCGCTCGAGTACACGGAACCCCGGCGATGGATGCTCACTATGCTTAGCGCCCTACGCCGAGAAATGACTCGAAATGGCCCATAACATTCGTTCGCGCGCAGCTCTTCCCACCCAGCCCACCTTCTTTTCATGATTGGTGTCAAATTCTTTCACACCCAGGACTTTCCCTGGGTGGCACCGAAGATTGGCCTATGGGTAACAACCATACCCATAAGGCCCAAGAATCTCTTGGTGTGGGTGGGTGGGTTACACAGCAGCGGGTGGCTTGCTCCCTTGACCCAAAATGGCGCGGGAGACACCCGCATAACCCGCCCTCCACCCTCATGGCGAACTCACTCATGTTACAGGCCACATGAATGTTCTCTCCAACATTCGTTCGCGCGCAGCTCTTCCCACCCAGCCCACCTTCTTTTCATGATTGGTGTCAAATTCTTTCACACCCAGGACTTTCCCTGGGTGGCACCGAAGATTGGCCTATGGGTAACAACCATACCCATAAGGCCCAAGAATCAGCGCTTAATCTTCGGACGAGGATGAAGCTGAGGTGGAGGAAGCAGATGCTGGAGAACGAGGGTGGCACTTAGGACATTTCCTGTACCCATCGAGACCATCGATGGTGTACCTGATAGTTTCGGCATGCAACTTCCCTGCGAAGCTCCAACCACAAAGCGTCTTCCAGTGAGAAGTGGGTTCAGCAAGGTCAACAATTGACTGATGTGCCACTTTTGAGGCGTCATTGCGCACAGTCCATACTTCCTTGCCAGTCGAATTTGAATTCAGCATTATTCCCATGCCATCAACCTGGTGCGCGATATCGCCAACCTCCTCGGTCAACTGACGCAACTCGCGCCGAAGGGAGGCTGTCCTGTCAATTCTGTCCATGTAGTCATTGACTAGCGACTTCACATGGGCTTTTAGGTCCATATCTGAAGCAGCTTTCGGCTGAACATCTTGAATGATGGAAAATTCACAAGATCGGCTCAAGCGATTGCAAAATCCTTGCAGAGGCGCATCAGCGAGGTATGAAAGAACCGCAGTGCTACCCCAGCGACCAATCAACTGAATGGTTATGGGATCCAGACCCCAGGCACACAAGGTCCTTGCGCCCGTGATTCTGAACGTGTGCCCGGATATGCACCAGTTTCCTCTCCCGTCCTTAGCAGTTCCCTTTGCCATGAGAACCGCCTCACGGATGGTGTTGACAACGCCTGCCTTGGTGCAGTACTCAAGGTCAGTTGTGGGGAACAAGGGGCAATTTCTGTCGCCAAATGTTCGCTCCAGCAGAGCGCAGTGATCAAGAAGAACATGAACCGGACAGCTCAACCCCCGGTCGCAAAGACAGCTCCACGTCCTTGAGCAACCCTTGGCCTGCCAGTCCACCTTTGAGACTGGCAACCTCAGGGTTACTGAGTCCTCAGTGAAAGTGACATCACGGCGATCCACCGCAGACGCCTCCAACTCCCGCAGCATGAAGAGAGTTGACACCAGGATCATGGCCCGAGGGTTGATTGGTCCAGAGCTTGCCAGAGGGGCCACATCCTTGAGAGCGTTCATCACTTTCATTAAGTCAAACTGCTCCGATCTGTGGGATGGCGCAAGGCCTCTCAACACCGAGCGCGTGCATTTCCGCGAAACCAAATCCAGCTTGTCTGACCATGAGTGGCCAGCACTGATGTGATGGTCCTTTATCCGCGACATGTAGTTCTTGAACGACTTGTAGCGGCCCAGCTTGAAAAGAGAGGACACTCCCAGGATCTTTTCCGGGGTGAGCGGAATGATGTCAGAGTTGTTAAACCACTTTTCATGGAAAGACGTCCAAGTGTTGAGTAGCGCGTCTCGTGGCGCTCTACTCGATGACGCAAACATGTCATCCACCAGGCTTCCCATTGCACGATGGAGTGTTTCCGACTCGGCGTGCAAGACATGGGCTTTCGTGGCATTTCCAAGTCCAAATTCGTTTGGGCGCCTAACTACAGGCATGTCCCTTCGTTTAATCCGTTCAGTCTCCAAGGGGCTGAGTGATGAGGCAGAGGGTGGCCCAACACCAGCACCCTCATGCCTGTGAACTCCTGAGGGAAGGGTGACAGTTGGACGAGGGTCCACACCCTCGCCCTGAGACACACGACTCAAGACATAGCCTTGGAGATCAGCAGAAGGTAGCCTCGGAATGAACTGGCTCCTGCTGCGCTTCTTAGAGTTCATGCCCTGAGCCAACGCTGCGCGCTCCTCTAATCCACCCAAGAGGTGGGTGAGGAAATCTCAAACGCAAAGCACTCAAGGTCGCAACCCGCACAAACAGCACAGCGTAAGTCAAGCAAGACAAGAGAGAGCAACAGCGAGCGCAGATCAATCCGCACCAGCCACACACTCTCGCGCCCGTCATTTTGCAGCACATTGAAAGTCATGCTCGAAGTTGTGAAACCGCCTCATCTTGCTTCTGTCTTCTCCTCTTGCGACTTGGGTGACGAATTGGATCCGAAGAATCCGAAGTTTCACCCAAGATCACTGCCCTTGGCGTAGCCGGTGAAAGTTCTACCCCACTGGCGGGTCCGTGGAGGGGGCACGATTGCACGGGCTCCCGACAAGGTGCTGGGAAGCACAAATGCCTTTCCTGGATCAAATCTCCGGGAAAGCGCGTCGCAAATTACATTTGTGACTCCCGGGATGTGCTCAAGCACATCCGGCTTGAACTGGGCCTGCCCCAGGTCCAAGGCATATTCGCGCGCAAGGATATTCTGAGCTTGCGAACGCCCCTTCACTGCCCCAAAAATGGTCAGCGCACCAACGTTGTCATTGCGCAAGCTCAGCCTGGCCCTCGTCTGCAGCCAGAATTGCTTCCACTGCCGAAGCGCAATGAGCCCGCACAAGCCTTCCCAGGCGTGCAATCTCCAGACCTGTAGCCCAGGACGTCTTGGTCAAGTTCCGTAATGGGGATGGCAAAGAACTCTACCGTTGCACCTTCGATCTCCAGGGTAGCCCCCATGCCAAATGGTGAGCTGTCCCAGGTGATGAGGACCTTGGGGCCGCGGTTGAGGTAGGCATCCAAGGTGAACAGGCGCGTCACCCCTGCAAGCTCACCCTGCAGAAAAGTGCGAAGCCAAGTCAGAGCCGGTCTCATCTGCTTGGACCATACACAGCCCTGCGGCGCGTTACCATCCTCCGAGTGAAGCACCGCATAGAGCTCCTGGAGAAAGGGCCTCCATGTAAAGACGATGGAAGCAATGGCCATGGATTTTCCCAAGAGTGTCCGCAGGGCTTTCTTGCTGACGACGTTGCTTGAACTTGCTTCTTCCACAAGCGCCAAGAGCTCAGACACTTTTGGCCCCGGCACTTCAACATGAACCGAAGACGGTCTGATGCTGAGCGTCATTCCAATCCACACAAGCGTGTTTGCAAGCACTGCTTTGTGACTTGCAATGGGAAAACCCATCACAAACCAAGCAATGACAATAGTTGCCGCCAAACGTCTTCGCCTGTCCCAGGAACCGCGCAGAACCGTGAGCGGGTCATCCACATACATCTGCATGCGAAACTCATCCGACAAGCTTTGCACCCAGCGTGCACCAATTGCAGCAATCGCAGCGAAAGTGAGCGGGGCTGCTCGCGACCCCTGTGCAGTTCGCAGAAAAACATAATAATGCCCCCTCAAGCGAGCCACAAAGAAACGTCGTTCTTCAGCCCTCAAAGGGATCAGCCAGAACGCGTCAACAATGTCGGCCACGAGCAAAGATTGCTCCGAGTCCACACAACCCTTCATCAGCTCCAGCGCGCTGTAAACAGCGTCAGTCAGTCTGGGCAGGACAGCCTTGTGCGTTCTTCGCGCCATTGAGGACACACAAGAACGTTTGCAGTCAAGGATGATCCTGACCTTTTTAACGACTTGGCCTGTGTCAGGGTTGGTCCTCTCTTTCACGATGCAGCCCAGCTTTGAGAGAACTGGGTCTTCGCCTAAGAAGGACGTAACCTCTTCCAGTGTCTGAAACTTGGCCAGATAGCCCTTCCGCGCATAACCTTCCAATGCGTCAAAGGCTTCAGAACTGTCTTCCACTCCCGTGTAGTTCTGGAAGTTCCCATAATCTGTTGTTGCCAGATTGTCCAAGGAGGTGTGCTCCTCGTCAGCGTCTACACACGGAAACACTCCATCCAGGGCATTGGTGGGAACCTGGAGCCCAGCCGGAGCCCCTTCGTAAGTCCACCGTGCGCAAAGTTCTGCAGGGTCGCCCACCACATGCGCCCAGTAGTGAAGAAACCGCCCTCTAATGACTGTGCTGTAGATTCCGGTGTCAACCTCGCTGGTGTCACAATGCTTTGGCTGGTCATCGCGCCTGTTCCTGACCAAAAGCTCTGCGATGCGTGCTCTGAGGTCGTCCACCCACTGCTCGTTCTCAATGGAAGGCGCGCTCTTGCGGCCGAATGACTCTAGGACCTGCTCCTGGATGTTGGGGTTGCTGTCCAGAAGCTCCTCGATGATATTTCTGCACTGGACGCCGATGTACCGGTGACGGTCTGTGACCCAACGGTACACATTCCTCAAACTATTGCGATCATCTTGCGGCGCTGTCTGATCCTGCGTGCCTCTCATCGGAAGCTTATACCGAATGGTTGCTTCCTTGTCGTTGACCGTCACATGGCGAACCAATTGCACAGGCTTGAGCACTTGTGTGGCCGAGACCAGCGCCTCTGCCAGAGCCTTGTTCAGCAACCCCGGATAGGCCGCGACTGATCGTGTGATGAAATCGCCTGGCGGCTCATGATTCCTCAGCAACAACGGATGCCATTTGTCTGCGCAGATTGCCCACTGTTTGCCCTTGAGCGGTGGGTGCGCAGCCCAAAGCCATTCACCTGACCAGGGAATCCTCCACCACTTCTCAGTGTGATTGCAATGAACAGCGAATTGGTTCATTGCCGGAATGTTCGACATGAAATCTGTCAGCTTCTCTGCGCTGCAGCCAAATTGACATTGAGCAAAAGTGTAGAGAAACACGTCATCCTTTGCAAGCAGGGATTCAAACTCATCCAGATTCCACATCGAAGTGGATCCAGGTCTCCTATGAGGCTGTTCAACAATCCATGGTTTCTTCCTCTTATGCAGATTTATTGCCATGGAATACGCTCTCAAAGCCAACGCGTTGCCCTCCCTGACCTTGGCGGCGTCGACTGCCCTCAAACTCTTCAATCCGTAACGACCCGGGCCTGTTGCAGATCTCAATGGTTGAGGGCTGTCAAAGTTGGATTCAACCTTGTCCCAGCACGTTTGATCAAGCAAGTTGTGAGAGTCGCTGATTTCAATGTCCATGCAAGTGCAATCCAGGCCCAGATCCTGTACGAACTTACCCAGGCCATCGGAAGGTCTCAAAGGACCACTGAAAAGGTACAACACACGCCCCCTGCGCCCGCAATTTTCTGTAGCGGGTGCCGGAGGCATAGCCTTGAAATTGGCTGCTGAATTCCCCCCCCGGGCGATGCTCGAAATTGAACAAGAGCTTGCCGCCGGGGGTGGCATGCAAACATCTGCTGGCTGAAGTCAGTACTGGGGGCGGCCTTTCCCCTTTCCTTTCTTGGCGCCTTTGTTCTTGCCCTTTCCCTCGCCACGCTTGACGAAACCTGGCGTCCGGACTTCCTCGTGCGGGCACCGATCTCCAGGGTGCGTACCCAGGCACTTGTTGCACTGGTGTACCGTGTCCCACTGATGCGAGCACCAGACACCCTGCGTTGCGTCTCTGCATTGGCCTGATTGGTACCCACTGCACAGACGAAAACCAGTCCTGTTGTGGGTATAACGGCCGTCCGCAACTTGGTGAACCCGCCCAGTCCTATTTTGTTTCCGCGGACGAAGGCCTCTATCGTCCTGGTCTGCTGCCATGCGCGCAGGGCCAGGCGCTGTCTCCCTGATGTCCGAGCCACTGCCAGCATTGCTCACGTTTGCGTCACCCTGGACAATCTCTGAGGGCTGCGTGATCTTAGCCAGGATGAGAAGCGCAGGCTCCGTCACTTCTTCTCTCCAAAAGGCTTCATCTGCGATCGTCCTCATCCATGTGGCATTCCAGGGACGATCCTTGTCAAAATCCGTGTCCTTCCCAGCAGCTTCGGCCTTGTCGTGGTCCGCTTGCAGAGTCCTCCTGATTCTTTCCATGTGCTCCAAGCGGCAACGGACATCAGCCTGGTAAATCACTGACCAAACCTTCGGCCCGTAGCGCTCTGCCAAGCGCTCCACGTGGGACCTGTATTTCTGCAAATGCCCCAGATCCACTGCGTCCAACATTACCAGTATGTTCAAGAGCACATTGTAGGACGCCAACCATGTTCCCAGGTTGTTTGGTCCATAGAGCTCAATCATCTTGAGTGAGCCGTCTCTGTCGATGGCCATGCCTTGAAGTTTGATGCGCTTCATGATCCTGTGACCGAAAGGCCCGAAGATGCTGAAGTCTGTGTAGGGCGGCTGGCCCTGAGAAAGCAGGTGTGCGACGCAGGAGATCTGCTCTGTAGTGGGCTGCAGTCCTTGGCAGGACGCTCACCAGCCCCAAACACAGCTTCGTATCGAGCATAGCACTTGATCACTTTCTTTTCTTCCATCATGAAGACTTCGCTCTCATCAACCTGTGAGATGATGGCCGACATCTTGATTCTCCGAGTTGCAGTTGAGCTAAGACTTCCTGCCACTGCAGGTGGTAATGTCTGGGGCGCCGCAGCCTGAGCCTGCGCGAGCTGTGCCTTGAGAGCCTCCAGCTCTGTGGCGCCAGCAACTGTTCTGCACGCCCTTCCCACCAGCCGTGCCATGCCCCACTCTGCAATAGTTGGCGCACGATCATGATCACCAACCCGAATTCTCCAGGACTGCAGCACATTCTCGAAGTCACTGCAAGAGGACACTCCCACGACACGCGGCTTCGTGCCCGGCTTGACGCCAAGTACAGCAGCAAGTGACCCTGACAGTGTAGTCCCAGCTTCCATCTCCGAAGATACCAGACCTGCCCAGGTGAATACATCACCGATAGTCTGAAGCTGCGCGGCTTCGTCTGGTGTCGGATCCATGGCCGAGTTGCCCTGAATGCTGGGAGCAAATTGGGCTTCGCTGACAGGCTTCGAACGAGTGAGCTGCACTCAACGCCCGGGAGGGTGACAATGAGTGAAATCAACTTCACTCACCCTCCCGCCTGCACCCACTGACGCAGTGTCAGTGGGTGTCACCTGTCCACCACCCACCCACCCGCCGCCTGTGACAAAGTCGGTGCTTACACAGCAGCGGGTGGCTTGCTCCCTTGACCCAAAATGGCGCGGGAGACACCCGCATAACCCGCCCTCCACCCTCATGGCGAACTCACTCATGTTACAGGCCACATGAATGTTCTCTCCCAAAAAACCAAGGGGTGTCTGAAAATAAGGCCAGATGCGGATTTGGTCCTAATTTTTGGGGCGATACTTTCGGGACTAATGGGGGGGCCTGACGATCGTAGGAGTATGTCTGTATGCATAGTACAAAAAGCACTTAGACACATCTAATTTCTGGCAGCGGATCTGAAGAACCTGACCTTGCTCACAAACCAGCCGGAGCCGACAACGGCGCGGGCACGGCGCGGGCAGAAGTAGACTGCGGCTACCCCGCAGGGCTCGTCCATAGAGGAATGACATAGTGGCGGGGAAGATAGACTGCGAATGCGCGGCTTGAGAGAGGGGGGGTCTGTGAGGTTTTACGGCCCAAACACCACGGACGAGATCCCCCCCAAAGCTCCCAAGCGATTGCCTCCAATTCCCAGCTGCTGAGGGACTCGGTTGCCAGCAGCGGCCCATAGACCAGAATCTGATCCACTGTTCCAGCCAAGGTCAGCAGGATGAAGGTGCCTGACACTTCAATCGGAAGGGGACTGAGTGGAATGACCTAGTCATTTTTCATATGTGCGCGCAGTGACAGTTGAATAAGCATCTCATGTATATACAACAACGCTCGTCGCAAGAAATGCAGATAGATATGTATATGCAAATTTACAGGGAAAAAACAAAAACAAAAAACACGCAAGTACGTTGGTGCGGAAAGACTCCACATATCTACATATGTACATCCAACATAACGTCAACCCCACATTAAGCGCTCCTTTTTTCCAACTATATTGACCTCTGAATTGAACGATCGAGCAATCATTAATCAAATAAATCAATCCCAAACAAAAAATACCTTTCTCTGCACAAAAACTCAGGATTTACAAGTGTCCAAACAGCGCTTTTGCAGGTCCAAACTTCAGGGAAGTTGAGGGTGACCCTTCATTTAGGGGTACGCCGCCCTGATTCCATGTACCTGAGGGGCCGAACGCTTGGCTGATAAGTATCCCCAATCATTGATGCGCCGGAAGCGAATCCTTCCAACACGAAGAGTCGCGTTTTGCTGGTGGGCCGCAATGAAACTGTGACGTTTCGATGTACCCCTCGCCTACTGCTTACTTGGGGAAAATGGTGGGAGCCTGTAAAATCTTCATGATCATGGCGGCACCAAATGCCAATGTGGGGAAACTGGCATTTGGAATGTGGCCATGATTTCAATAGGGAATCACCTCCAAATTTGGGTGACATGAATCCCCACCCAAATGATGTCCACCAACGAGGGTGCCCTATTCAAATTCACCCCCATGTAGCATCACAAGGACGTCTGCTGGCGGACTCATAAGGGGTCAACGGTTTGCTGCGCACCTGTGGTGAAACGCGACTCGTAGTCACAGTCCACATCTGCGTGCTTCTCCTGCGGGTTTCCCGCTAAAAATCCTTGAAAGGGGTTTGCCCATGATCTCAAAGATGAGCTGCATTCACATGTGTGGCTGAAGCATGGGGGGACCTGGTTGGTGGAGTAAACTTGGATAAATCTGGTCCCCAAATCCCTCCCAAACCATTTCTTCAGCTGCAAGACCTGTCCCTCAATGCAATAGCCAACTAACACTATCTCAAGCATAGCTTGAGCCCACGCAAGTAATCCATGTTGACCGAGCCTCGGGTTCGGGGTCACTGATAAAAAGGGCCACATCAATGCCACAAGAATCGGAAGAAACAAACACGAACATCAACAAAATCGGAATAAAAAGAAAAGAAAAGCCAAAGTTAAACCAAGAAGAAAGACACCCTTAACCAACCCCTCAACCAATATTTCAAACAAGCAGAGCCTTTCAATAATGCAACATCTTAGGGGTATGTTCGGAACTTCTCGAGAGAGTCTGGAGTGAGTCGCAGCATAGGATAGGTGTTGCAAAGAACCATGTCACGGGGCATTGAAAGAACTGCGTTCACCCCGTGGCTTCCAGTCTGGAAAGGTTGCCGTTTACATCCCCATGCAGGGACATGGTTGACATGGTTGACATGATGTGAACAGCAAATGACTCATGGGGATGTCAATTGTATCACCAATAGACTTTCGCCGTCCGAACAAGCCAGAAATCAAAAGTGTGACCCTCACAACCATGAGTTTGGCTGGGGCTCAAATTGGATGTGGCATTCGGGTGAAGCCCAACCCCCACCCAACTCCACCCAACCCAACTCCCCCCAACCCTAACCCTAACCCAACCCCTTTTGGCCGCCCAACCCCCTCCCCCAACGACAAGACGCTGTACACCCATTTGTCCCCACCTGGACGTACATCACCACAGCATAGAGCAAGATTAAAGAGCCCTGGCAAGCGATACGCAACACACATCGCCAGCTGAAGACGCACTGAACAGCCAAGGGGCGAATGGGCACGCTCGCTAAAACGACACTTAGTCATTACACCAGCACCGGGGTCCCCTATTTATCAAAAATACTCAGGCGTGTGTCGGTGTCCCTTTTCCTCTCAAACCCTCCAAACCCAAGCTTCAAGTTGCCAATGCACCCAAGGGCAAGCTTTCTCCAGCTTAGGGTTTTCCTGGACCCCTAGGTGTCCTTTTGGAAACAAAAATAACACGATGGCAGCCATTGCGTGCTTAGCGTGACGCGTGACGTGTGTCTGTGTTCAGCCAAGACCCCCAATGGACATCTTTCGAGGCAGCCCTGCCGCTGGCAAAACGGGGAACCCATCTTGGGGGTTGACCTGCGTTGGGAAGTGCTGGATCACTCAGGGTTTAGCCCCAACCACTTCTGTGACAAATTCGCGGATTCCATTTACCACAGCCCTGTTGACCTGTGTTGGGCACCCCAAGCATTGGAGGGCGCCACCTGCTGAAGCTGCCGAGCCGCGAGGATGTAGTCCGCGTCACGCTCCATGCCGGGCTGGGATTCTAAGACCCCGCCGCCCAAGGACCAGGCGATGATGGCCAGAGTGACCCAGAGCTGGCTGATGAAGATAAAGATGCCCGCGTGAAGCGTGCCTGGCTCGCAAAATGACAAAGATGCATGACACACCTCAAGAATTCTAAGGGTTACTTCCCCGAGTAGATGAAGTTTAATAATAATAATAATAATAATAATAATAACAATCCCAGCCACAAATAGCTGCGGCCGCGCTTAAAAATGGGTAGACCAATGTAATATCATGATTTTCTGACTGGATCCTCCGTGGTGGGTTTCCCTCTTTATGCTTGCCACGACCATTGGTACAAAGTTCATTGCTCGCCTGAAAATTTATGAGCTTCGTTGGTAATTATTATTCTTCTAGGGGATGCCTCCCCATTCTTTTCAACCATCGTTCGAATCGGTTTTCATTTGAACTCGTTCATGCGTTGATGGAAATTGTGTCCCTGGCTTGATTTGCTGGAAAATCAGTGTGGCTGTGTCATGGTCCAGCCGCCTTGCGGAAATGACAGGATCCATGATCGCCCTACAAACAGCAATGTTCCATTGCGCGCATGTTTTGCAAGCTTGAGCCACAATTGTGGCAAAGCTAAACCATGGTGTGCAGCTGGGAAATACGTGCGCCTCCAGTTTAATATTTTGTGCGCAATCTGAACTCAAGTAAGATGGGACCTGCGCTGAAACCAGGAGGGGGCGCATGTGCTTGGATGCGGGGAAGAGTAGTTGAAACGTGATTGAAACTTAGGTTGTTGCGAATGGCGCACTGCAAACTTTGGTTTATTCCGAAGGACTGTACTAGTCAGCAGTTGTTCCCCTTCCAGTAAAGAAGTTATTAGTGGAGGGGGGGGAAGGGGCGGAAGGGTGGTCCTCTGACTAGAGGGTCCGAGTAAATCCTCCAGTAGTAAAAAGCCTCTGGGGAGAAAAATACAGTCAGTGAGTCAGAAACGTTGCATCCGCAAACCAACCGTTCGGGTGTGATTTTTTGGGGAGCCCCCCCAAAATGGTAGTTTTCCTTTTGGTTTCCCTTTACATCCGCCAACCAAGGGGTACCCTCAACAAGACACACCCATTTGCGAGGCTCGAATTTCAGAAACACGCGAGACCTTCTTTCGCTGGGTTCATTCCTTCATTCCCTGCCTAGCACCAGCAAGAGAAGTCTCGGTTGCTTTCTGCTCCCCTGCTAAAAGTTTAACTTCTAGTCGTTTAATGGAAAACCCATTGGTTGGCAAAAAGTTTAAAAGTCCTAACATCCTTTGGCAACATGCAACAAAGAAGTGGGGCCACTGACATCCCTGGGGCAACCGCGCATACCGCGCCTCGGGCTATGATGAGGAAGGGCAGCAGCCAGACCACGTCCACAAGGTTCACGCTGGACGCGGCAAGCGCCACGCCTTCTTCGCTTGGTGCTTGTGGCAAATGGGTGCTCAGTTGTTCAGTGACCCTGGAAAAAAAGGGAACCCTTTTTGGCGAAGACCATTTTAGTGGGGCAGCAGCCAAACAAACAAAGGAAAAAAGGTGCCACTGAACAACTGAGTGTGTTTGTTTTCATTGGACCCCCGCAAACGGGTGGTTGTCCTTTTGGTTTCCCGGTAAAACCCATTACCGAAACGGGTACCCTCAAAAACAAACACACACCCACACACACATACACACCCGAATACTCCCCGGCAGGTTAAAACTGAACCTGTAAAGAATCTCATTTTGGGGGTTGAATGTTTCTTTGCAAGTAAGTCCCCCTTTCTGTACCAATGTTGGTCATTGGCGAATTACTTCGTAACGGGCATCACAGCAAGTGGGCCCAAAATCCGATTTCAACAGCCATGGCTCTCAGCGGGCAACAAAAGAGGAAACCGCCACTTTGGAGGGAGTCCGTATAAATACATATACTCATCAAGGTATTTCTGTGTTTTCCGAACTTTCCTGTTGTTTTGCCTTACAAACCAAACACAAGTCGTGGTTGGAAGCAGGTCATTCTCATATTCCTCACTGAGAACAAGCAAGAGTGTGTGTAGTCTTAGACTGAAAGTCATGAGTGAAATAGCAAATACCATCTTGCTTGAGTCGATCCAGAGTGATTTAAGGGTCACCACTTTGGAGACCATCGCCATTTGCAGAGTTGCTTTTTGCCAGGTCCTCAAGTCAACCGAAGCTGGAAAGAGTATGAAAGAGTTGTAACAAGCCCCGCGGCTCCATGCCTACACCAACACGATTGCCCATACCAGAAATGCCGATTTCTCTTCCCCCCACCGCCTCGCCCTCTTGCAGAAAACTAAATCTGAGTGTGATCTGCGATGGTTCCCTGACGTGTTTGGACAATTCACTTTTGATTCGTTCTAGTGCCGGGGTTGATTCCCTATTGAACTTGAACAAACCACAAACGTCTCTTTCAAAGTTTGTTCCCCACCTGTTCGGGCTGGAGTCTTCATGAGCCTCAAACATAGGGGCTAAACTAAAAAGGCACCCCATGGGGTCGGAAGCGGTACCCAAATACCCAAAGCCAACTTTCCTTTCAGGGAAGCCCCAAATCATCCACTTCCATCATTATTTGAACGAGAGGAGGGGCTCCCCCTTTTTTGAGGGTACCCTTTAAGGGTGGTCTTGAAAGGAAACCTGTAAAGAAAACTCACTCCTCTTTTTGGGGGGTTCCCCCCTTTTTTTGCCACACCTCACGCCTCCCAAACTCCCCCCCCCCCCCGCGCCTGACACCCCGAAGAGCTCGCCCAGCGGGTGGGCGTGTATGGCCAGCTTCGAGCGGCTGCCTAGCAGCATGGCATCGCCATGCCGCGCTGGCCCTTTCAACCTTGGAGTTGTTCAGTGACCCTGGAAAAAAATCCAAGGGTTCCCTTTTTTCCCTGGGAAGGTGGTTTCCAATTGTTCCCCATTGTTCCAGGAAAGTCAGGGTTCCCATTTCTTCCGGGGCACGCTTTTTGGGGCTTGGAACGTTTTTAGTGGGACATCCACCAAAAAAAAGAGGGAAAAAGGGTGCCACTGAACAACTGAGTGTTCACTCCCCTGCAAAAAGTGTTCAACTTTTTGGGGGTGTCGTCGAACACACCTTTTTTTCAACCAAAAGTGAAAGTCTAAAGATCCAAGCCAATAGCAGTCAAGGAACATCGTCACTGCGTGCCGCAACCACGCCGCACGCGGGGAGACCTGTCGTCGGGAGACCTATCAACAAATGGCACTCCCCAAAAAGGAAGAATGACAGGAATCACTGGAATTTCCCGAAAGTTGCAGCAAATTTACCGGTGGTCTTCATTGAAATCACCACTTTTGGACGTTCCAACCAGAGAAATGGATCGGACACTCTGAATGACCCAAAAGGGGCCGAAACCTGCACCCCCTGCCTCCTTGGGGTTTGGGGCCAAGGTCTTAGTGCTCGCGCTCGTGTTGTCCAAGTCATGGGCCAACTGCAGAAGCACCACGTCGCACTCCTCGCCCGAGGCGCCAAGCAAAGAAAGGTACGCAAAGCCCACGGCACGCCAGGCCATGGCACGGTTCGGTAAACTGAAGCTGCCTTTGGCCACGACCGGAGGTGGGAATGATGCCGCGCGGCGGTTAGTCGCGCACGGCCTTGTTAATTATAAGTGTATGTATATGTATTGACCTATTCATTCAACTTGTATATATATATATATATACATTAATATGTTGATATATATATATATATTACTTTGCGTGTGCCGTTCTTACCATGCGGATGAACTCATCTGCCATGCTGGTGGCTCCGCGACCTCACATAAATCCACCCCCACGGCCTACAGGCCCACAGCCGAAAAAAGCTGCAGCATCCATGCGCTCGACCCACGCCATGCAGAAGCCACCTGAAGCGCCGAGCGAGCCTCCGTGACTTTCCGCCGAGCTTCGGCCAACAAAAATGCATCATTTCTAGGTCCTCCAGATTTGAGAGGTTCGAAGAAGGGTACCAGCTTTTTTCAGGACGTCTATTTTAGTAGGGGAACCCTCCCAACCAAAAAAGGGGGAAAAGGGCACTATTGGGGGACCTAGATTTGTTAATGGCTCAGGAAGCAGCTGCTTTCGTGCACAACAATGAAACCTAAGTCCCATCCCTTCCAAAGCACCTCGAAGCAAAGAACACGCCACATTGAATGTTTGACATCCTTAGGTTCATGACCATCTTGAGCACTGGAGAATGCATAGCACAAATATTGGTGGCTCAAAGAACACAAGAACCCTCTTTGACCGCTGGAATCATCTGGCTGTGGGTCAAAGCCCCGGTGCCCGCCTACCCCCTACATCCCCTTTTAAAATTGACCAAACAAACGGGGGGTGACCCAAAAAAAGGTAGCTGGGTTTTGACCCACACCCATCTTCCAAAATTGTTGTAACCCTCCGATGGGGTGTTTCCGCGCGCTTTTCGCGTTTCGTTTCCCACTGTAAACAAGGGTTTCAGGGTCATTTTTGACGACCTGCGCGCGGGTTTGGAGCAGTGGGCGTATGTTGCGTTCACGGGCACACTTTCATGACTGAGCGCACGCCTGCCACATGATAAGCACCCACATTGACGCACGCATTATCATCATTGCGTGCATGCACACATTATCATCATTGCACACATTATCATCATTGCGTGCGTGCCTGCCACATGATCAGCATCCACGTTCACGCACACATTATCATCATTGCACACATTGCGTGCATGCATGCACACATGCCACACATGATCAGCATCCACGTTCACGCGCACATTATCATCGTTGCGTGCATGCCTGCCACATGATCAGCATCCACGTTCACGCACACATTATCATCGTTGCGTGCATGTCTGCCACATGATCAGCATCCACGTTCACGCACGCATTATCATCATTGCGTGCATGCCTGCCACATGATCAGCATCCACGTTCACGCACACATTATCATCATTGCGTGCATGCCTGCCACATGATCAGCGCCCACGTTCACGCACGCATTATCATCATTGCGTGCATGCCTGCCACATGATCAGCGCCCACGTTCACGCACACATTATCATCATTGCGTGCATGCCTGCCACATGATCAGCGCCCACGTTCACGCACACATTATCATCGTTGCGTGCATGCCTGCCACATGATCAGCGCCCACGTTCACGCACACATTATCATCGTTGCGTGCATGCCTGCCACTTGATCAGCATCCACGTTCACGCACACATTATCATCATTGCCCCAAGGGCATATTTGAACATCGATGAAAACAAGCAGCGTCTGTGGGCGTAAAAACCCCAAGACGCATTGAACAGACAGAAAACTCTGGACCGAAAAAGCGCGCGGTGAGAGCCCATCGAAGCGTTGTTGTAAGTGTAAGGGCGTGCTTGAATGGCTGGCTCAGCAATTCAGAAGCGGATTGTTGTCGGTTGGCATTGTCTGAGTCTACTCCTTGAGGCGGTTTCGGGCGGGCCTTCGCACCGCGTTGCGGCCAACTTCCCCTGCGGCCCGCTACAAAACCACGTCCAGCCAAACGATGCCCTGGCGCCAACCGTCTGATCCCTTGCAACAAAAAGGTCAACTCCCTGGCCCGAAATACTGTGGGTGGACGAAATCCTACCCCAAATGGAAACCATGGGACGCCATTGTTTGCTGGTACTGATGAGGGAATCATCATTCCAGGGTTTCTTAGGTGGTGCAGGATGTCCATCCACAGTATGACGACTCATGAGAGCCGTTACCCAAGGGAAACCCATGGGACCTCCCGGACGGGCACGTCTCCTGCGTCTCATTGAAGCGGAGGACCAGCGCCTTGCAAAGAAAAGAAACACGAATTGGGCTAGAACTTCGGGAGGGCTAGGAGACCAAACCAACTCGCAGAACTCGCAATGCACACGGGAAATCAGTGCCTTCCCCTACTAGGTCCTCCAGTAGAGAGGTTAGAAGAAGGGTACCGACTTTTTTCTGTAGTCTATTTTAGTAGGGGAACCCTCCCCAAAAAAAAAGAAGATAAAAGGGCCCTACTGGGGGACCTAGCATTTGTCCCGCTTGGTCGCAAAAAATGATGGGCGACCTGCACAGTCCGGCCCCTCCATTTGAGCTTCTGAGAATAGACCTCCGACCCCGGAGGGCTGGATTCCTTTTGGCCTCCCCTTCACGCTCCAAAAGGGGCCAGGAGAAGGCAGATTTACTCCGAGCCATCTCCATGGCCATGGCTCCACCAAAAGAACCTCTGATAAATCGGAGGGTTTCTCATGTCCATTCATCTTGCGCATGAGTGTCTCACTTTTTTGGGTGGATCGGCCACAAAAAGTCCAGACTTTCCTCGCTGTCTGCTCCCCTGCTAACAGTTTAACTTTTAGTGGTTTAATGGAAACCCATTAGTTGGCAAAAAGTTAAAGTTGTAACATCCAAGCAAAATGCAACAAAGTTTCTACTTCCCACCGAAACGGAGCTCGGGAAGTGAGGTGCCATGCATGAGTAGCCGCCCCACAATAAACCAAAAGCTCCTCTCGCCGGGCGCGCGACCGGTCCAAGCTCTTCATGTTCACCTGTTGCGCCGGCTATCGCTGCAAAGGTCAATTGCCAAGGAAGCCGAGGGCACGCTTTCCAGGTCCTCCAGTAGAGAGCTTGGAATAAGAGTACCCGACTTTTTCTTTCTTTCTGTTGCCTATTCTAGTAGGGGAACCCTCCCCAAAACAAGTTGGTACAAGGGCACTACTGGGCTTTAGAATGAAAGGGAACAAACTTGGACTCTGAAAGTCTGACACACCTGATATTCCCCTCTTAAAACACCGACATTGGGCTGATGGCTCCAGGAAATCCTCATAAGCAAATCTTTGAGGCATATCAGGTCCGACTCTCTGGGTCCAAGTTTGGTACGCGAAGGAAGCGTCCCATCAGCCTTTTTTCCGGCGGGTCCCTTCCGAAAGATTTGGAGTGGGTCCTTTGTTGGAAATGTCTCCCAGATGTCGAGCGGAGAAAAGGATCCTTTCTTTCAGTGTGTTTAGACCATCAACTCAGCGAAACCCTGTGAGTCATGTCCTAAACCTGCGCGGTCCGTTTTCTGATCGCCCTGCTCAAGTCTGACTTGTGGGTTAAAAAGGAAACTACGAAAGAAACCAAAACCGTCAGGGCACAGGGCGTCAGGGCGCAGGGCGTCAGGGCGCAGGGCGTCAGGGCGTCAGGGCGTCAGGGCGCAGGGCGTGGCTGGGAACCACCAAGAAACGTATCTCTAGTTGAAGCCTCCCCATTCTTTCCAGGGATCCTTCTTTTCAGCAGACCTCAAAAAAAAAGGGAAACAGCTGGTTGTTGAAAATAACGATGGTTGAAAAGAATGGGGAATCGACCCCTAGAGTATCATGTTGTGTGATGTCCTATCATTCCGCTTACGCCACCAGTACTGTGAGATGTTGGACGCTCATGTGGAAGTTGGAACACCTGGCACGCTTTGACCAGCCCAAACAAAAAATGGGCCATGCCCATGCCAAACCCAAAGCCATGTCTCGAACCGAAACATGGGACAGGCTTTCACACGAGGGGAAATTTGTCAGCTGCTTAGCCCCGCCCCTCACCCCAAAGTTGAAAGCTGACCAACGGAGCCTGACAACAGCACCAAAACGGGCCTGGGTGCTTTCAAAGGACCCTTCCAATACCTGCATCCACCCGTCAGGCTCCGGAATTGGACTGGTGAGGTTGCAGGTGTCTAGAAGGATTTGGAACCCTGAACTTGGCCGGCCTCTGACTTTCTTCCCCAAACAAAGACCGGGCAAAGGTGTTTATGCGAGGCTTTGTGTGTATTCAGACTAGGTCCTCCAGTAGAGAGCTTAGAATACGGGTACCCCGTTTTCTGTAGTCTATTTTAGTAGGAGAACCCCTAGCGGCGCCTAGCGGTCTATTGTGCCTGATGCATGCTGAAAATGTGCCCTGGCGAGCCCTCTGCACCGAGCTGGATTCCGAAGTCGGGAATGCAGCCGGACCGGGCCGAGGGAAAACCCGGACATTGTGACATGAACTATGGATCAGGTTGGACCATGCCCAAGCCAGGGGCTTAGAGTTCTATGAATTCGAGTCCCCCCCCCTTCTCGTTCCTCAAAGGAAGCAAGCAATGTCAACCCAACCATTCTCTGCCATTTGCTTAAGCCTCCTAGGAGAAAATATATTTCCAGCGGTGATAGATTGATTCCCTGTAGAACCAACAGGGATTTTTTTAAAGAATCATATTCATTTCAGCAAATGGAAGTTCTGGTGCGGGCATTTCTTATGGGACATGGACGCGACGTTAGGCGCTGCTTCACACCGGCGCCGCTTTTTCTGTGTTTTTGTTTTGTCAGCTGCGCCGCACGCCGTCCACACTCCAGTAGATCAGCGCCTCAGGCAGACCAAAAATGGGCTGGTTCGGAAGGTCGGAAGGGGCGAAGGCCTTGCCGAAGAAGCCGCCAGGACTGGGCCACTTAGCGAATGATGACCAAGAAATCAGCCTTCAAGCAAGAACCTGAATTTGAATAAAACATGTGTTGGGTGGTCAAGCACCAAGGAAACACGTTTTGGGTGAAAACATTTGTTGGGGAATACAACATGTTCTTAAGCAAATGGATGTTGAAGCGGATGTTGACCACACAAAACATGAGCACCGA